TCAACAACTGTTACGCTTATAGAAGAACTTGGGCAGATGACGCAGCTTGATCACTGTTTTGTAGTGGACAAAATGCCTGTGAAGAGGAGTCAGTCATTCAAAAGTAAAAAGAGTTTGGTGAAGAAGGCTCTTGAGGAAAAATGTGGAGTTGAATATGCTTGTGGAATATGTTTGGACATAGCTGAACACCTGTTATGACTTGTTGCGTTCACTTGGTTTGCTAGCATTGTTTCTATAGTTGGCTAAGCAATGAACCAACTGACTCCAAGTATTGTCCGGTTTGTAATGTACAAGCATTGATAGTTACCCCAATCCACGGTGATCATTTGAGTTATTATGGTGATGATAAAAATCCCCAATTATTGAAGATCCCTCCTAGGCCACGAGCATGTTGTGTGGAAAACTGGGAAGAAACTTTTTAAATGTTTGTGTTTTCAGTTCCTAGGGATGAAATACGTATTCGCGCGCACACTCGGGCGAAAATTCGACTTGAATGCACTACATGGACACCACATTGCAAGCTTTGATGTGGATAGGAACTCAGACCAGAAAATGGATAAGTAATGAACCAGCGGACTCCAAGCATTGTTCGGTTTGTAATGGACAAGCATTGATAGTTACCCCAATCCATGGTGACCATTCAGGGAACTATGATGATGATAAAAATCCCATATTATTGAAGATCCCTCCTAGGCCACGAGCATGTTATGTGGAAAGCTGGAAAGAAACTGCTCAAATGGTTGTGTTTTCAGTTCCGAGGGATGAAATACGTACTCTGGCGTGCACTTGGGTAGAAAATTGACTTGGAAGCACTACATGCATACCATATTGCATGCTTTGTTGGTGATATGAACTTAGACCAGATAATGGAATATGTTGTTGAAGTAGATTTTGGAACTACCAGATCTAACCATTTATTCTATCCCAAAATAATGATTGAGTACATAGCAAGAAATTAATTTTGTATTTTACTAGTCGATATAATTAATTGAAGTAGTATTTGTTGATAGATTAAACAAAGTACCAGACTTCTTTTACAAACATTAAAGGTTTCTACTAGATAGCATTTTGTTTCGATCCATGTTATATAAATTTGATAAAATTATTATTATGAGAGAATAGTTGATAAGAAAAGACTACATGTGCTGACGGAGTTAGGGGTGGACAGACTCATACAGGCAAAATATGCTAAATTCTTTGTTATGAATTTTATTAATTCACTTATATAGTTTCTTTTAAAGTAATGATGTGCTGTCGTTTTTGCTTTCACAAATCTTACATTTATTTCATTCATGAAATTGGTGGTTTCGCCTTGCGTATCTCTTACATGAACTTCCATTAGGAGTATGGTCATGTTACTTATTTGATGAGTCTGCTAGGTTTTACCAGTAAAATTGTCAATGTACGATCCAAGTCTCCACCTCGTGAAGGAGCACTTCAAAGTAAAAGGGTAAATTAAAATCATATGATGATGCTCATTAACCAAAAATCTAAAAGATGGAAACTTTAAAATTGTACTTTTATATACACGTGTTTGTTGCATATATAACTGACACTAAAAGAATGGGGAGAATTGCTTTTGATTGCTGCCTATTGGCTACAAAGTGAAAATTAAACTATTGATCATCTCACATTCAGCTTTGGTTTTGGAGTTGGTGTTACTTAATCATCATTAGCAGCATCATCAGCGTCATACACTCTCATATAGAGAAGAAGCAAAAGAAATGAGAAAGGAAAAAAGCAGCTAATATCATTTGCTCTGAGATATTTCTAAGATCATTAATTTATCAGTACTCTCGTATGGTGGATCTACGAATTTAATATTTACATACATCTAATTACCGTTTCTTAGTTTCCTTTTGACAATTTTCATTTTTTAATTTCCTTAAAAAAAGAATATTGAAATGCCAATTGTCGAAATATTTTTTAGTACAGAGTTCACTTGGTTAATAGTGTCTCTTTTCAATCTTATCTCTATCCTTCCTTCTTGGTGGAAACCGCTTTAGTATTTAAATTGATTTCTTTACAGTTACCTATACTTCTATTAATTCAATGTGTTGGCATGCATGTTAACACATCCTTCCTCCCACTGCAAATATAATGCAATTACAATTGAGTAATGGCATATGTTTTTCAGTATTTTCATTCCAAGAAAATGTAAAGGGGTAGAAACCTTTACGGTGATAGTTTTTCATTTTTCAATCACATGTTTGTTATCCAGCAATAGGTGTCACAACATCGATCGCTTCAAAGAACCACATATTATTATATAAGTGAGTGCATTTATCATACCTTAATGTTTTAAAAGAACTAATTAAGCTGACTGCTAATAAATAAATAGTTTTACATTTCTCTTGAAGCCATTACATTGTCCATGATAATTAATCACGGATTATTTTATTGCTATGTAAAGGTTGTTTGTATAGTAGATTGATCACCAAATGAAAGTGTGAAAGATTGGTTCTAAACAAAAAGATACATTTTGAATATGTCATTTGATAAAAGTATTGAACTTTCATATTTCTCCTTCATCATATTTCAGCTAGCCTTGTCATGATCTACGTTTATTTTCTTCTCGTTCCTTTTTCCCCCCTTTCTCACAACACACGTGGTGCTCGAAATGACAAGTTGTTGAGGCTTTCTTTTATTTAATATATGATGGAAAAAATTAAAGAAAAGGGAGGAACCTTTTTTTTTTAATCATGGTATCCTACTTGAATCATATTAAGGTCAAACATTAATCACTCAAAAATAAGTGGGAAACTCAAAATACACAAAATCAATTAATTGGAATAATATTATTAACTATTTTACTAAACCAAAACAATTTACCTACCATTCTATGCATACATTAGAAACCAAATCTTGGAAAGTTGAAAAATTAGTAATTAAATTAAATCTCCCTCATTCATTTTAATTAGATATGGTTTCCTTCCCTCAGTATAGTTAGTATTTTAATTACCAACTAAATTTGACTTCAATCAAATACAATAATCTTTAAAAAGTATGAAAGAAAAGAAAGAAAAAAAATTCCTCTCTTTGTAAAGTAAAAAAAAAAATAAGAATTGAGAAATTTATTTTAGATGACCAAAATCTCAAAATAACCCCAATTACATCGGAAAATACATTCACTACTAATTAAGATAAAGGGCATGAATGACCTTCACAGATATTTCCTATGAAATGCAGAGCAGTACGGAGTATGTAAATGAAGCATTTTAATTTAAACAGTGTAAGACGTCAAACTATATAAGACACATCTACACGTGTAATGACGTCTGCTACTCATCTCCATTACATTTCCTCCATTTCATTTTCCTTTTGCCATTATAAATAGAGAACCCATATAACCAAATGCTCATCACTTCAAGTTCCATGAACAAATTTTCTTAGAGAGGTGATAAACATTTGAAAGCTTCTCTTATTAGCACAGATACACAAATTCATGAGTGTCTCAAGGATTTTATGTTTTTAAACTAGTTCGTCGTTTTTCCATACAAGAAATTTGTACAAAGTTTCTTTTGATTGAAAGAGAATTTTTAATGGAGGTGATTTCCTCTTAATGGTGTCTAACTTAGTTGGAACTGTGGAGGATTTCAAGAAAACAATTTCAGCCATTGATGGTAATGAAAGCAAAGTGATCTCTCATTTTTTTATTTTCTTATTTTGTCATCTTTGGAATGGTTAAGCCATTTTGATTTGATATGTTTTTAGTGGAGTGTCTTTGGAACTGTGGAGGATTTTTACCATTTTCTGAATCTTTTTCGATTTGTTTGCATATTGATTTGATATGTTTTTGAGGTTGTTATGCTTATGATCACAAGTTTCTGGACCGATCCTTATTATGTTAATTTGTTTTGCTGCAGGTCGAATTTCTTATTTGGGGGGCTTCATTTGTTGAGATTTCTGCGTAGATCCTGAGATTATAACCATAGTAAGTTCTTCAAGTTGAAAATTTAATGTTGGATTTTATGTTTGGATTGTGAGGTTGGTTTCATTAAAATGCTCACTGATAAATTACCGATGCATGTTTTAGTATTTTTTTAATATAATAATTTGTATAAGATATTTCATTCATTTTACAAAATGAAAAATGATTTTTGATTGGATTTCTGTGTGATTATTTGAATGGAAATGATTGTTCTTCTCAATTTCATTTTAGAATATATTGTCTCTCTGGATTATATTTTCGATTCTTTTTGAATTCATTCAATTTGGAGCTTCCTTTTTTTTTTTAATTCCCCTCTTTTGGCTCTTTTGTGGGTGTTTTTCCAACTGTCGTTGATGTAATATACTCTATATATTGTTCAGTTACTATGGTAATTGATTGAACAATTTAATAGCCAAACATTCTATATCCACATTGAGTTGGTATGTGATATAAATATGGTTTTTTCCGTTGACATATGTAATATAAAGATCTTCTCTTGATATTGTTGAATGTGTATTCAGAAACCCAATAGTATCTAGAAAATTATTTCTCATATATACTCTATATTTTTCTGAGATGAAAAAAAAATATTTTTTGGTATTCTATTAAATTTGAATTTATTAAGACGAGCTAAACTTGTGAGTTTCAGTGATCTTTCAACCCACTTGGTTTCTACTTTCTACTTTCTAGTTCGTGAAATTCATGACTAGAGACAAACAATACCTAGAGTGTAATGTATTTAAAATATCAATAATTCATTTATATTCTGCACCGCCCTTAGTATACACTAAACAGAGATTGTGTTTATGGATTCTTACCCTTCTATATGGCTCACTTTTCTTGTTAATTTTGTTCTCGTTAAATACTTGTGTGTATAAGTTTGTGGCAATGATGTTTTTCCTTTTTAAAGTATCGGTGTTGTGACATTTTACTAAATTTTGATTAAATAAACTTGTAGGTTTAATTTTGACTAAGCTATATTGTGAGAAATATAGTATCGCATCTCATCTTGGAGGACTTGCCAAATGCATTTGATGTGACTCAAACTGCAAAGCGAAGACGTGAGAATATGGATGATAAAGCAAAAGATCTGAAAGATAGTGGTGATTCGGCCAATAATTCACTCATCTTAGAGATTGGCCGTGATCTCTCAATGGAGTGTTTAGCGTGCTGTGCCAGGGTAGATTATGGTAAAATTTTGATGGTGAATCGTAGTTTCAAGTCCGTTATCTTAAGGGGAGACGAGCTTTATAAGCTAAGGAGGAAGTTAGGCATCATTGAGTATTGGGTTTACTTTTCATGTAATCATGCGGAATGGGAGGCCTTCGATACAATTGGGCATCAATATCAGGGTTTACCACCCATTCCAGCTAGTGAATGCTTCAAGTGCTGTGACATGGAGTCACTAGCTGTGGGCACCGAACTTCTTGTCTTCGGAAGGGAAGTACAATCACTTAGTGTTTACTAGTATAGTGTAGTAACAGACTCGTGGGTGGATGGAGTGACTCCAAACAGCCTAAGATACCTATTTGCCTCTGGCAGCCTCGGCGAGATTGCTATCGTGGCTGGTGGTTGCGATTCAGAAGGAAAGATACTAGGCTCTGCAGAAATGTATGATTCAAATAAAGGAATGTGGCGAGCTCTCCCGAGTTTAAATACACCAAGGAAATCGTGTTCAGGTGTGGTTATGGACGAGAGATTTTATGCAATTGGGGGGATCGGTCTTGGGGAAAAAAGTGTAGACGGTGAAGTTGGCAACCCGAAAGTGCTTACTTCCGGCGAGGTATTTGATATGAAGACAAACCTTTGGGTGGAAATTCCAAATATCCTTCCTGGACACATTGTAGAGGGAGTTGATGAGTATGCTCATGCATCCACGAAGTCGCCTCCTTTACTTGCTGTTGTGAGGAATGAGCTATACGCGGCATATCACGAGGAAATGCTACTGAAGAAATACAACATGAGCATGAATGTTTGGACAACAATCGGTAGGTTACCGGAAAATGCCTCCTTGACTAATGGTTAGGGATTAGCGTTTAGAGGGTGCAGCGATCTACTCATAGTTATTGGTGGCCCTCAAGCTATGAATTATGGATTCCTTGAGATCAATGCATGGGATCCGAAGGAAGGTCCTTCAGAGTAGACTTTGCTCAGTAGGAAGGATTCAAAGAGTTTTGTTTATAATTGTGCTAGAATGGGTTGTTGAGCCACATTCTTTGGATTTAGAGGAACATGGACTCACAATGGATTATCAACTCTCAAGAAACAAATTATTGTTCCTGTTATTTTTATGTCATTTGCATATGACCTATATCAATTAATTTTTGGTTATTAATAGCTGGAAGAAAAGTAAAAGAGAAATATGTTATACATTATAGTAACAAACATTTTTTTGTTTTAATTTCTTGGTCTAAAACTTTGTAGGGTTTCATTTGCAAGAGTAATGAAACTTTTAGTTTTGAATGATGGTTCTGATGATTTTGAAAGGAAATGTCTTTTGTTTCCTTATTCCAATAAGCAACTTTATATGTTTGTATATGTCTATATATATATATATATATATATATATAAAGAATGATAACTATTCCCATATGTAATTGATTTACAAAAAATTGATTCTACACATACCTGCCTCAGTTCATTGATCACAGTTAAGTTATCATATATTTTTCAGGATCGAGTCTTAACATTTATATTTCCTCACCGATGTTTAATAGAAGAATCAAAATTAGTATTTTACAAAAACTTCTCTTATTATAACATCCTTGCATTGATTTGAAACCACAAATAAAGAAACTACTTACATATGATGCTAACGCATTCTTTGATTCCATTTTTTTTTTGGTTTAACCAGAGCTGTATCTGGCGGGGCATGTCCACCGATATTATAGATCACCAAAAAAAGGACAGTGGATAAGATTTACCCAAAAATATTACAATCATCTAACCCAATCTAATTAAAAAATAAGGACGGGACCTTTGATCTAGGACCCATAATCCTTTTGTTTCTCAATTAAGCTGAGTTGATGCGGAGCTACTAATTTCTCATATTCCGCATCTTCATAATCCAACACTGCCGCACCATTGATGAGTTTTTTTACCTCTTTGATGAGAGAACGCTTAGTTGTTGAAATGTCCGTAGACTTTTGGAAAAACCAGCAAAGGTTCGAGGAGGCCCAGTGGGGCCCTCCCCGGTGCGATCTCTGGTCATGATGACCGGAAACAAAATGGAGAAGGTGAGATCGCCGGCACAGAGAGAGAGAGAGAGAGAGAGAGAGAGAGAGAGAGAGAGAGAGAGAGAGAGAGAGAGAGAGAGAGAGAGAGCAAAATGCTCAAATTGGTAAACGTCATTGAAAACAAAATTAACATATTATCAATTTGAAATAGAGAAAGAATACTGAAAATGGTAAAAAAATCGATGCAAATTGAAAACCAAAGTAACGATATCATTCGAACGAGAGAAATGCCTGCAAAATTTTGAAATAGTACTAGTAAATATAACAATGAAGATATAGATTCAAAATAGTCAGCAAAGAGGTGAGATGAGATTGAAAGCGGTGCTACTATAATCAAGTGTCATTGAAATGAAAATATTTTCGACAACTACAATTCTATTTCATTTCGAAGAAATAAAAATAAATACAATGAAAATTACACAATTTGAATTGTTAAGACCGTATCATGGTCCCTTTTGGTGACATTATTTCTTTTCTGTATGGTAATCTTTCCGAAGTCGATTTTGCCATCCATGGCAGCAAGATATCCCGCTCGAGAACTTCTTTTGAGCTCCATCCCGCGAAGTGCTAATCTGGCATCACGTTTCTTCCACTTACCACCACCAAGACGGAACCATTGTTGCCCTTGTCTCCTTAATGATATCGCTTCATACTAGATAAAAAACATGAGGCAACAAGTCTTTAATTCAACCACTAGCCATGATCATTGATATACTCTATAAATCTATAAACCTTTTACAAAACAACAAAATACCAAATTTAGGTATTCAAAGGTTGAAATAAAAAAATAAAAAAATAAATAAATGATTAATTCTCAAATGAATTTTTAGGGAATGTTAGTCTGGAGAAAGAAATTACGATGCGAGTAATTGTGGGTATCTTGAAGAAGTTTTGAACAACATTTAGTTTAGACGTAAATATGTTTACTATTGATATTTTGACATTCATATCCGTTTTAGTGTATTTGCAGATTTGTTGCTTTTATTTTTCTTCTTTTTGTTACTTGCTAAGTGTATGCAACTTGCAAATTTCTCTGCTTAAATAATGAATATCGAAACTTTAATTGCATATCTTATAAGCTATTTTGAATTTCATTACTTCAATTTTAACTTTAGTATGTTTATGTTACTTGACCAAATAATGGATTTTGCTTCTGCCTCCTAAATCATAAACGATACATTAGTTTTAATTATGTTTTGATTGTATGAATATATGAACGTAATTAGATTTTTAACATACTTTCATTTTATTTTTTTGTGGGCTCTTTTATATTTTACGAAAAAAAACTTAAAAACAATTTCATGTCAGGAAAGAGAGGTTTTATCAGCCAAATTCGTATGCTCTCTCATACGCTCCCCCTCCTCTCTTGCGCCGGTGAGCGATTGATTCCGGTCTCCATGACCGGTGATCAATCCGGGGAGGTCCCCACTGGGCGTCCTCGTATGTGTGCTAGTTTTTTTTTTTTTTTTCCAGAAATCTACAGATACTTCTCAAGAAAAAGGCTCTCTAATAAAGGAAGTGAAATTCATCAATGGTGCTGCAGTGTTAGAACATGAAGATGACAAATACGATAAGTTGGTGGCTCCGCATCAATTAAGCTTGATCGGGAAGTTCTCTTATGGTAGGCCTAAGATGGAGGAGGTCCATAAAGAGTTTAAGAAGTTAGGTTTTCATGGGGGCTATACCTTGGGGCTTATGAACCCTAGGCATGTCCTCATTTGATTTGAAAGGGAGGAAAATTACCAACAATGTTGGATGCGAACGTTTTGGAACATCGCTGGTTTCTCAATGAGGATTCTCAAATGGAAGCCGGGTTTCAAGTACGAGAAAGACCCTCAAATTGTGCCAATATGGGTTTCTTTGTTTGATCTCCCCATTGAGTTCACGAACCCCGAGGTAATCTTCTCTATGGCAACCGCAATCGGGAAGCTGTTGAAGGTATATGCTCCAACATTAAATATGACAAGGCCTTCCGTGGCCAGATTTTGTGTGGAAGTCGACCTCACCAAGGATTTCCCTAAATTCGTTAAGGTTGGGAAGAAGGGCAAAAAACATGACCAAATCTTTGCAATGAGCATAGTTAGAATAAGGGAATTGTATTTCATTCATGTATGGTTATGTACAATATACAGACTATATATAGACAATAACAAACCCTAAACAAGGACACAATAGTAAATATATTAAGTATTACAATATGCCCCCTCAAACTGACGGCGGAGAAGAGAGAAGCCGAAGCTTGTCCCGGAATCGAAAGAATAACTCCTTGAATTGAGAGAACGAAATTCACCACCCCAATCAGAGTTAACACTTTTATTGGTAGTGCCAAATTGATTTTCTACGAGAGCTTTGAATTGCTTGAAAACATGGAAAACATCTCTTTTATACTTAATGGGATAAATCCATGTGAATAAAGAGAAATCATCAATAAAAAGCACAAAGTAGCGATAACCATTAAATGACAAAATAGGAGTAGGGCCCTAAACACCAGTGTGAATTAAAACAAGAGGTTTAGAGCTACGACGAAAAGTAAAAGGTAAACTAACCCTATGCAACTTCCCTAAACAACACGCTTCACATTTATCAGTGGACATGGACATAGAGGAATGAGGGAGTTGAAACTGCCTAACCAAAGTACGAAGAGTGACATTATTAGGGTGCCCTAAACGAGCATGCCATTGACCTAGAGAGACAAGATAAGCTGCTGGAGACAAGGAACCATGAGCAGGAAGATCTAAGCGATAGAGACCATTATCAGCCCGACCGCGGAGGAGGAGTTCCTTGGTTGAAAGATCTTTGACACAGCAAGAGTCAGAATAAAATTCAAAGAAATAGTGATTATCACGAGTAAACTTTTGAACAGATAACAGAGGCTTAGTAAGAGAAGGAGCATGCAAAACATGATTTAAATAAAGAGGACAAGAAAACGATGACAAAACAGATTGACTAACATGCTGAATAGGTAAAGCATCACCATTACCGACTAAAATATGATCCGTACCATTATAATCATTGGAGATACTGAGAGAGGACAAATCTGGCATGGCATGATCGGTAGCACCAGTGTCCGGATGCCAGGGAGTGACAGGAAGGGCATACTGCGCCATATGAGCTTGAGGAGACACAGTCGACTACGGGTAAGACGGAGGAGGCAACAAACCAGCCGAATGCTGTGTAGGAGAAACTCCCTGGGCATAAGCAGCAGACCGAATGGCAGGGGGTCGAGGAACAAAATTAGCATCAAAGCGGCGTCGGCAAGTGGCGACCGTGTGATTCAAGATGCTGCAAAGCTGACACGTCTCACCCGGTGAGGGAGGGTTGTACCCAAGCCGACCACTACCACGACCAGAAAACTGATTGCGCCGGCCCCCGCGTTGCGAGCGAACGGCACGAGAGAATTGAGGCGTTGTAGGAGAAGGTGGCGACTGCACAAGCATGGCCGTCGGCTGAAGAACCGGCTGTTGGGCGTGAAGGAGCACCTCATATTGAAACTAACTGTCCAAGAAGATCTTGATAGGAGGGGGGTTCGGATCGCTGCTGCAAAGCTCCAATGATACCATTGAACTCGGCACCAAGATTGCGGAAGATTATGGCATTGAACTCCGCTGGAGATATGCGATGACCGGCAAGCTGCAGTGTATCTGCGATACCCTTCGCTTTGGAGAGGAGAGCCGTGACTGATAAGTCACCTTTTTGCAAGCTGTGGAGCTCCATAACAAGCTGGGTCTGTTGAGCATAAGAAAGAGTGTTGAAACCTTGCTGAAGAGCTGTCCATGCTGCCGCCGACGTT